TTGTGATATTCTAGGGACATTCGTAAATTATCGTATGAGATATTTTTCACATTCATTCGAGAATAAGGCCCCTGCAATGTTTCTTTCCGCATCTGCAAGTTTCTCCAAGAATAATTCCAGTGATACATCTTCAGACAAAAGTGACCAACTCGTAACAAAGTTATCAAAATCTTTCGGTAGACATCCAAGAATTTTAGCCATCAGAAGTTTTTCGTTAAACTTCCTTCCGAAGTCTTCTGATTCTAGAGCTTCAATGCGACGGGCAATAACCTTAAGTCCAGCTACAAACGTGCCGACTGTACTATCCGGTTTCCAGTTGTAACCAAAGAAATCACGTAACAGTTCTAACAAAACGTTTAGCGTCTTTGGCTCATAAATAGTTTTAATTCTCCTCATGATGTCTGCCGAAGATTCACAGTCACATACCTGGTCAAATGTTGCGTCATCTAGAGTCGATCGTATTATGGAACGAGCTTTACTGTCCTTTACCTTCTAATCATCTATCTCTCTCTTATTATTGACGGCGCCGTCGTCCGTTTTAACCTCTTCCGGTTTGACCGTAACATTGCTAGCGACTTCCCAGATTCGATGACTTTCGAGGGCATCCCGAATCTCAATCCTCCAGCGATTATACGCTGCCTTTGAGAGTTTCGTCACTCGAATATCTCTAGACAGACTTTCGTCAGCCATTGTACTTTCACTTAACAATGTTCGAGTAAAAACTGTTCGTTCTGCCACGTCACGTTATATGTCCGAAAAACATATATAAGTCTATCGTAGCGAACACACACTGCACAGATTAAGTCTCATAATCTGTTAGAAATGATAAGGGTGAGTTGTGTGTAAACGGCGTATATTTGAAGATATACAGAGAGTGTAAATACACGTAACCTCTAACATGCTACGTAGGACGTGGTCTACAAACGACTAACTGAACGTGAGCCTAGGAACCAGGCTCGGAACCAAAAGTTAAGGGGCTGGGGAAACCTGTAGGGCCAACCTAAGGACTGTCGTGGTAGTTGTAGATGTCGCTATGCCTCGTCAGTATCCTCCCTGATAAATAGATGTCGTGAATACTTTCCAACACATATAATTTAATTTTTTAAAATTTAATTGAAGAGAAATGCGTCCTTTAAATATTATTTACAAACCGACATTCAGAAATTTAATCTGTGGATTAATAGGTAACGACAAGCCTGAGAAAGTTCTACCTGGAAGAAGCGCTTTGTGCAACGAGATTAATAACGCCTATGTTCGGGACTCGTCAAGGATGTTCACTGGACGTGGGATACTTTGAGGATGAGATCCACGAATTTGTTTCTTAAATGTATATTTCGCACTATTTCACACAAACTAATTACAGTAAATTGTAGATGAACAATACGCGAGACTTTGAACCAGCTGAGAGGTAAGAATCGGCTCTCTATCGGCACGCAATTCGCAAGAATAATAACGTGTTACCTCAAGCGAGAAACGAAAGGGAAAGGCGTTGCGATTCCTTTAGTCGCCGCTTTTATGGTGAAGCAGGATTCTTTGTTCTTCCGACGATCACCAATGATCTCTCACCACTTTGAACATTTTGAGGTGACCCCAGGGCTCTTGGCGTGATTGGTAGTCACAGGGCTCGGGAAGACACCTCGCGCATTTGACATACGCGAAGCGAGCGTTCGCGTGGCTCATTGGTGATCGGCGGAAGGAACGACGGATCACGTGCACGCGCAGGAATCGGACCGAACGTCAACGTATCTTAAGAATAATAAAGATTTCTATTTTGCTGACATGGGCTTTCGGGTAGGGTCACGGTGAGTTGGTTGTCGACACAAACACTCACCCGTCCGCAAGAATATTCTAGATTATTATGCGAAGCCCATATCAGCAAACTCTAGCAATGAATTCAAAATGTTGCAAAAAAAGGAAGTATCACCGAAGGGAAAGAAACTTAAGAGAAAACCATTGCACAGAGCCTTGAGAGTAAGAGTCCGATATCACAAGCAGAGGTAGCAATTGAATTGTTTTTGCAGTCTAATAGACTGTTTTACGACGTAAAAAAACCTATACCCTACTAAAAGTAAACAATTCAATCGTTTTTTAGCAGACTCTTGATTGATCAAGAATTTTATAGTAGAACTTCATAAATCAAGAAAATAGCTTATGGGGCTTACTTCGCTTAATTCTACTTTAGGAACGCCCAAGGATGTGGATCGCAAGGAAGGAAAGTAACTGTTTTGGACTCTTTCTTTTTTAACGCCTCATGGCTTAGGATATATATTTAAAGAAATAGGAAATACGGTACATGGATTATATACGTCGAGGAGTGTACGGAAAGTGTTGGCTATTTCGAGCCTGGCCACCGCGCTTTTTGGTCTGCGTAAAGGCGTCGCGCTTACTGACCAGCGGGACGGAAGTGGGAAACCTCGGCAGAAGGATCGGATCTGTTTGGGTACCGAAGTCGCAGAGTGTCGGTACGGTTTGTGTCATCAGACTACGGAAGGTCCTAGGTGGAATATTCTCCACGTAGTCTGATGGGGACAGGACGGCTCGTGGAGTGAGAGGCCTGGAACGCTTTGGTGTCCCACAGATGGGAACGGGCGAAGGTGTCCGCGGTGTACTGGGCCTCTTGAAGAGAGTCGGAGACGGAGTCCGTGGATCCGGAGATGGAGCTCGAGGAGTTGGAGAGGGAGTTCGTGGATCCGGAGATGGAGCTCGAGGAGTCGGAGAGGGAGTTCGTGGAGCCAGAACCTCTTTAGACTCGTCGTGCGTCCGTCGTCGTTTGAGGTACTGGTCCAAGGGGATCGGGCGCGTCTTTCTTTGGATAGGTAGACAGTCGTCCTGTCGAGGCGGAAGTGGCCGTTCGGATTTCCAGGATCGGGATTTCTTACTTCTGGAATCAGTGTCTATAAAGAAAGTACAGAGTTAGTATCTCAATATGTTACTTCGAGTCTATGTGTTTTACGCAGATCTCCACTCACGATGCAGCGATTTACGCTTTGTTGGCGAAACCATGGCGCCTTGAAGATAAAGCGATCTAGCGCTTGCTGTGCGGCTCGGGCGCACGAGTAGAGCGACTCAGCGCTTTGAAATCGAAGTGGAGCGACTCAGCGCTTTATGTTCCCGAAGGAGAGCGACTTAGCGCTTTATCGAAGTAGAGCGATTCAGCGCTTGTATTCCTGAAGGAGAGCGACTCAGCGCTTGTATTCCCGAAGGAGAGCGACTAAGCGCTTATATTATCGAAGTAGAGCGACTCAGCGCTTATATTCCCGAAGGAGAGCGACTCAGCGCTTGTATTCCCGAAGGAGAGCGACTAAGCGCTTGTATTCTCGAAGGCGAGCGACTACGCGCTTATATTTGCGTCTAGGGCGCAAGAGACAGCGGCTACGCGCTTGGTCCGTGGCGACTGAGCGCCGAAGTGAAGTGAAAATGCTCGCATTTTCCTCCCTTATATACTGGTGGTCACTGAATTTTACTCCCGAGAGAATCCGCAGCGTAGCGGCGGCGCCGCGAACTAGCGCGGCCGCCCAGCGTGGGGCTAGCGCCAGGCGTTTATGTTGGGGGCCGGGCGCCCATTTATATTAATATTTTGTAAAGTTGTTTAACACTATGTATCATATCTTTTATCCCAGCTTCACTGAGGATGACCCAAAAACGGGTCGAAACGTTTGGATGATTTATTAAATTGTTTTAAAAAAAACATTGACAATTTCGCACGGACACCTGCTGTGGGCTCGCATTGGCCGTTTCTCCTTACCTACC